TACAGCTGCAAAACATCCCATTGAGGATGTAACCTAATTTGATTAACCATTCCCCTATCCTCAGACATTTACTCTACCCTTACTTTGGGGGTTTATAAAAAGCAATATGGTGAACATCTGTGTGCATGTAAGTTCTTGCTTTCATTTGGATTATTACTTTAGGCTAGACTGATTTTTCAAATTAGTAGGATTAACTAGGATCAAAGGGTATGATCTGTTTTTTCTTAAATGACCGTTTTTTAAAGAATAGAATACTTTTCCTAAATTTTAGGGTCACAGAGAGATAGGGCTAGAGGGACATTTTAGGAATGCCTCATCTATTAGATGGGAAAACAGAGGGCCAAAGAGGCAAATTGACTTGTTTAGTGTTAAACATTAGATAATGCAGTAGATTGAAATTATATAATATTTTCAATTATATAATAAATTACGTGGCAAAACCAGCACCAGAATACATCTGCGCATCTTAAATAGCCTTAAAAAAAAAACCCTTTCCGATCCTTTTAAAATGTAACCCCTGAATTAAACTGGTATTCAAAGCATCTTGACTTTTTTTCTGTCAATTTTACTGTAAGCATATTTTGGGCAAAATGTAAAGTATATTTTATTTTCATATTTTAGCAAATTGGGGCTGGATGACAAAATAAAAGTGCAGACAAATGTAGGAAAAGATGTAAATTGTAAAACTGATCATTTTCTGAGTGGAAAAGGAAAGTGAGAGGTTTGGGTCATATAGAAAATGGTATATATATCCTATTTGGTATTATGTCATATTCTATTAAAGCTCTTCTTTGCAGGATTTAACAAATCACTTTTTATGTCTTTTTTCTCTCTCCAGTGCTGGAAGGTGACATAAGTTTCTTCTTTGCATGTGATATCAGAGTGCCATAGTGACATACATACATATATATATGTATATATTTTTAGTAGGTTTCATGCCCAACATGGGGCTTGACCTCATGACCCGAGATCAAGAGTCACATGCTCTATCAACTGAGCCAGGCAGGCACCCCATATATTTCTTGATATATCCAAAAAAGAAAGAAGGTGGCCAAGCTTTGCAACAATGAAATCAGTTAGAGTCAGCAATATGCCATATTTTATCAACTATAATACACATATGCAGAACTATTTTTAAATTATTAAAATAGAGCTAAAAGGTAGACATCTATATATCAGCTTTATGACAAAGTTGTGTTTTTCGACCAGAATATCTCTGGGACAGGTATCTGGATCATAAGAATAGATAAACCTAGGGCACCTGGGTGGCTCAGTCATTAAGCGTCTGCCTTCAGCTCAGGTCATGATTCCAGGGTCTTGGGATCGAGCCCCGCATCGGGCTCCCTGCTCAGCGGGAAGCCTGCTTCTCCCTCTCCCCCTCCCCCTGCTTGTGTTCCCTCTCTCGCTGTCTCTCTCTCTCTGTCAAAAAATAAATAAAATCTTAAAAAAAAAAAGGGTAGATTAAATCAGAAAAGTGGGCCAGGGACTGTCCTGGCCGTTTGCACACCGGTGATTAGGAAAATCTCCTTGTGAAACAATAGACCTTATGACACATGGAAAAAAATGAGAGAGAGATAACATTTTTCAGGAGACATTAATTATCCTAGGAATTTATTCACACATTTTTTTTTTTACTCATGAGAATGTGTACTAATTTACTAAATGTACTCCTTCACATCCTCGTAAGCACAATGCCCTGTGCTAACTCTGTGGGAACATGTTACAAGACAGGTAGAACCGATGCCTGTTGACTTGTCTGACGTCATCCAGCTTTAAAGCTGTGGAGTAAGAATGTGAACTTAACTACTATAATATGAGGGAAAAAAATCAGCAAAATCTACTTGGATCTCTGTGTTCTGGAAAACCATTCCTTATTCATTTTCCAAAACCTATCATTTCTTCAAAACACAAATTCTAATTCAAGTGAGTAGGTTTCTGCTTTGGTTTGTTTTGTTTTGTTTTCTCATTTTGCATTCAAGAACGTATTCTGACAACTCTGACTTCATTATTCCTTAGACATCATTAGGAAAATACCCACCTACTACAAGGGTGCTGACGGCTGTTATTCCTTACTGACTATGTCTTACTTGTCTTTACACCCTACTCAAGTGCCTGTGTCTTGGAAGGGAAGAGCAGAAAGAAGAGAGCAAGTATAGATGATGGTGAGAGTTCAAGGCCCTGATCACAAGTACATATTTGATTTCGAGCAGAAACTTCCTACACCTCCCTTCCTGCACCATCACCAGTGCTTTATGTGAGCAATAGCTTCCTACCCGGGGATAAGCATGGGAAAGGGGCACAGTCATAGGTTAGTTATGGGCTGTTACTGAGAATAAATTGTGAGAGCAAGCAAAGAGAGCTTTATGTTTTTATCAGTGGGTCTTTGTAGTAGGCAACCCTGTTTGAGTGAAAAGAGACAAAGTCGAATTCAAAATTGTTTAAGGAAATGGGAGATTTCTGGTGTATGTATTGGCAAATTTCAGCTGGGGTTTTCTTCATTTATGGTTAGATTAAAAGGCTCAAGCAATGTGTTAGAAGATATACTGAAGCATATTACAGATTTTAAGAGCTTATTTGAGCAAAAATTGATTCCAATTGGGCAGCGTCAAACTGGAAGTAGTTAGGAGCACACCTTGGAGCCAGGGGAATGATGGAGAAAATGTGGAAGCAAAGAGAGACAATTATTCAGTTCTCCATAGCTTAAAGACCAGGGTTTGAATGAAGGCGGTCTAGCCTGAGAGCAAATTTTAGAGCAAACATTGCTTCTCAGTTCGTCCCAAAAAGGCCACGAGGGAAGAGAAGCCTGCAAAAATGATAAGAGGGTAGTGTGCTAAATAGGTGTTTCTAAATGGAGGGAAGAACAAGAATGTGCCTTCAACTGGGGCGCCTGGCTGGCTCAGTCGGTTAAGCGTCTGTCTTCAACTCAGGTCATGAGCTCAGGGTCTTGGGATCGAGCCCCACATCGGGGTCCCTGCTCAGCTGGGAGCCTGCTTCTCCCTCTGCCGGCCGCTCCCCCTGCTTGTGCTCACTCCCTCTCTACCTCTCTGTCAAATAAATACATAAAATATTTAAAAACAAAACAAAACAAAACAATGTGCCTTCAAGTTAGGGTGGTTTCTGGAGAAAGAAGAGAAAGAGATCCTTGGGGACATGAGATAAAAAACCATCTGGAGAACCAGAAGGAAACTGGCAAAGAACAAAGTGCTCCTTCCAGTACTGGGAAAATATTGAGTAAGCCATCAATAAACATGGGAAGTCAGACTGGAAAGTCAGGAGGGCTAACTTGAGAGACGAAAGACAACAAGCCATTGCTATGGTTCTGTAGGGCCTACATCTTGCCTCAAGGAGCAGGGAATTTGTAGGGTTTAATGCCTGAGACCAAACCTGCAGGTCTGGTCTAAGTGAAATATCTCATTCCAGCCCTGGTGTTTCCAAAACTAAACTCCAATATGAAAAATCAGGTATTTATTTCTCTGTTACACTTCTCTGCTACCTAATTACATCGTTAGGACCACAGTTCACACCAAGATTTGAAGCTTGTTGCATCAGTGACTTCATTTCAAACATGTCCTAAGCATCTGTTGGATAAAGAAGGACCATAGGAATTTCAAAGAGCAAAACTGCAGCCTACAGTCAGATGATATAAAGCTACAAAACGTGTGTAATGTCCTTCCAAACATCAAGGAGGGCTTTACTGTGTACAGGATAAAAAAACTTCACCTCTTAAAAAAAGAAAATTTAGGGGCGCCTGGGTGGCTCAGTCGGTTGAGTGTCCAACTCTTGATCTTGGCTCATGGCATCAAGCCCCGCATCAGGCTCTGCACTCAGCCTGAAGTCTGCTTGTCCCTCACCCTCTGCTCCTCCTCGTGCGCTCTCTCTCTCTGTCTGTTTCTCTCTCTCTCTAAAATAAATAAATAAATAAAATCTTTAAAAAATAAAATTTAGACCCTTGAAAATTATATAGGACATCAACAGAAAAGGATGTTGCTCCTCAGGTGCTAGAATGTTCAAAAACAATTTACGGACATAAATCATACATGTTAATTCTTGTCTTGACATTTGAGTGCATACGCATGGTCATAATGCTTAAACTTTATTTACAATGAACTACTTTGCAGGATCAAAGTCCTTCCAAAACTCAGCTTAATTAGGAGGTATATCCATGACTTATCAGAGAGTTGTCAAATAGTATTATCAGTGTCGTCAATATTAGCTGAGATGCCATGGAACATAACGCAAGCTATACAGTTAACTTCACGTGAAGATTTGAAATGACACAAGCATGGCCTGTGACTATCGCCTCTCAATGTGTAAATCACCAGACTACAACTATGTCTGAATAAAAGTACTTTTCCTTTTGTGCAGCAAGGAAACTTCTAGTACGAGAACTCCTTTTTCTCCTTTCAGTTTATTTTAAAAATCATTTATTAATTTTCCCTCTGCTCAAAGTAATTCCAGAGTTTGCCTTTTCTTCTTCTTCTTTTTTTTTCTTTTGAGGAATAAGGGGTAACTTTTCAGGCAGTTTCCTTAGTCATTCTAGGCAGCTCGCCAATGGAATATAGACTAAACAACACAGAGGATATTAATTTTCCCTCACTATACCAACACACAGCTAGTGATGCATAAAGTCTTCATTCCAGAACTGACAATGAAAGGGTTGTGTAATTGTCTAGAGTCCAACGTCACTAACAGTTTTCTGAGTGAATTGGAAGAAGATAAGAGAATAGATCCTGGGGAATAATTTTAAAATGGCTAAATAGTGATGGCAGAGCCAAACTCATACCTACATCAGTGGGGTGCAGAGAATTAATCTCGGAATATCTTTAATGCTGAATTTGAGAAGAGAAACTTCAAAATGAACCTTTAAAAAAAATCTGTATTTCACAGATATATGTTTGGTGTTTCCTGGCGGTAGAAGAGGCTGGGTAAAAGAGAATTTTGCAAAAGCAAACTTTTTGTTGAAATACAACATACATACAAAACAATTCACAAATCGGGACGCCTGGGTGGCTCAGTTGGTTAATTGAGTCCCACATTGGGCTTCTTGCTCAATGGGGAGCCTGCTTCTGCCTCTCCCTCTGCCTGCCGCTCCCCTTGCTTGTGCTCTCTTGCTCTCTGACAAATAAATCAATCAAATCTTAAAAAACAACAACAACAATTCACGAATCACAAATTTAGAACTTGATAAACATTTAAATGTGAATACACCTTGAAAGCAACTCTCAGGTGAAGGAACAGAACATCAACTCCCTCCATGAAGACATGCCCGTACCACCATGTAGTCAACACCCTCCCTCAGGTAAACCACATCCTGACCTATATCATTACATTAGTTTTGTGTATGTCCATTACAAAAATGGACAATAAATACAGTGTACACTTTTATGATGGCCTCTTTCTTAAATCAACGTTTTATTTATTTAAGTGTGGTTGTAGTACGTTTATTCTCATTGCAGTACATAGTATTCTCACTGTGTGAATATACCTCTTATCTTACCAATTTATGAATATAGCTTATCCATTCTACTATTAAGAACTATGCTGGGAGGCACCTGAATGGCTCAGTCAGTTAAGCGTCTGCCTTCAGCTCAGGTCATGATTCCAGGGTCCTGGGATCGAGTCCCATGTCAGACTCCTTGCTCAGCAGGCGGTCTGCTTCTCCCTCTCACTCTCTCTCTGTGATCTCCCTCTCTCAAATAAATAAATTTTAAAAAACTTTAAAAAAAAGAAGAACTATGCAGGGTAAAATAGATGATGGGGATTAAGGAATGCATGTGTCATGATGAGCACTGGGTAATGTATGGAATTGTTGAATCATCATATTGTACACCTGAAACTAATGTTATACTGTATGTTAACTACCTGGAATTAAAACAAAACTTGAAAAAAAAAAGAACTATCCTATTTTACTATTTGAATGCAACATATCATACATTTTGTATGTCCTTGAATTTGATTTGTTAATATTTTCTTTTGGACTTTTTTTAAATCAATATTCATTAGAGAGATTGTTCTGTAATTTTTGTTTCTTGTAATGGTCTTGCTATGTTTTGATATGAAGATTTTTCTGGCTTTATAAAAATTATTAGGAAGTGTTTCCTTTATTTCCATTATCTGGGAGATTTTACGTAAAATCAGCATTATTTCTTCCTTAAATTTTTGGAAGGCTCAATTAGCAAAGTCTGGAATATCTTTTTCTTATAAACCCTGAGAGGTTATGAGAATTTCTGTTCTCTCTTTGAGAGGTGTTTGGTTTAACCTTTCTGTTTACTTGGCCCTACAACTTCCAAATTTAACAATGTCTTCAGGAAGAGGCAGGCTCTGTATTTGATGTTTTGTTCTCTGATTTTGGCACTTCCATTATATGCAACTCCACAAAGCTGTCCTGGTTTCTCTGTCGCCCAGGAGGACCTTTTTCAGGACAAGCTCAAGTTTCTAGCCTATAGTGCATTCCAAGATCAGCAAAAGCTTCCAGGGAGAGGAGTAGATCTCCAGTTCACCTCTGAAAGGTTTCTTTCTCTCTGGATGCTTCTGCAAACCTCTGATATCTTCAAATATGTGAATTTCTCATGTGGTTTTGGTGTTTTGGAGCATAAGTTGGCCTTGCATGAATTACTCCATCCTTTTCAGAAGTTGAAGCTAAAAGGAAGATTTAAAAAAAAAACATTTTCTTTCATATTTGCTTTGTGGTGACTGGTTATAAGAAGTTCCAGTACCACCTAGGGTAGCTTACAGTCTAAAGTGGACAATTACACATCTAAAGAATTTATAATTACAAATAGTAGTGAATGCTAATTTAGTCACCTTTTAAAATAACTCCACTTAAATTGTTGTCAAGAACTTTCATGTGTTTCTTTGTGTAACTATTCTAAAATACAGTGATCTTTGGAACTGTTAAAATTTTCTTTTCTTTACTCTTCTTTTCTTTCTTTCTTCCTTTATTTTTTAAAGAGTTATTTATTTATTTCAGAGAGAGAGAAAGAAAGAGAGCATGGTTGGGAAGGGCAGAGGGGAAGAGAGAGAGAGAATCTCGAGCAGACTCCCTGCTGAGTGCAGAGCCCAACGTGGGGCTTGATCTCAAGATCCTGAGATCATGACCTGAGCCAAAATCAAGAGTTGGACACTTAAACAACTGAGCCACCCAGGTGCCCCCAAATTTTCCTTTTTTTAGTTAAAAGTTATTTTAAAAAATAACATCTGTACAATGAGTAAAAAGCTGAACAATCTGAAAAATCAACAGCCTTTTTTAAGGAAATGAGGTCACAGGGCAAACTACTGCCCCCAAATTGGAGACACCAACAAGCAAATATAGAGAATTACAATTGACTTTAATATTAATAGAAATCTATGCAAGGATTAGTACCAGGGTAGGGAAACCTGAATTGTAATTGAAAAATTGCTAGAGGCTCAGTGTAAACAACCCTAAGACCTAACTCCAGGGAGACTTAGTCATCAGAGGAGCTGCAAACTTTTGTGAGTTGTACCTTCAGAACTCTACCAGGTTCTCACAGAAAATATCAAAGAAAAATCCTCCTATGCTTCTGGCAGGGGAGGGGGAAAAAATATTCCAAAATATCCCAGAGCAATCTGTTCTTCTTAACAATGTCTGCCATCAGTAGAAGTTATTTAGCCAGAGCCAGACACATAATGGGATTATCAGAAGGAGAAGAAAGAGAGATAGGAAAGAAGAAATGTTTTGGAACAATAATGACTGGAAATTTCCCCCAGATTAATATCAGACACTAAACTACAAATCCAAGAAACTCAGAGAACACCAAGCATGATAAATGCCAAAAACAAACAAACAAACAAGAAACAAACAACCCACTACACTTTGGTATATCATATTCAAATTACAGAAAATCAAAGACAATGAAAAACTCCTGAAAAAAGCCAGAAGGGGGTAACTTACCTCTAGAGGATCAAAGAAAATAATGACATCTGACAACTCCTCAGAAACCATGCAAGTAAGAAAAGAATGGAGTGAAATATTTAAAGTGTTAAAAGAAAAAAAAAAAAAACAACACCAAGCTAAATTTTGTATCCTGTGAAATTATCCTTCCAAAGTGAAGGAGAAATAATGACTTTCTCAGACAAACAAAAATTATAGGAATTTGTTGACAGTAGCCCTGCCTTGAAAGAAACACAAAAAGAAATTCTTTTCAGAGAAGGAAAATATTATAGGTCAGGAACTTGTGTCTACATAAGAAAGGAAGAATACTGAAGAAGGAAGAAGGTGAAATAAAAACTTTTATTTTTCTTATTCTTAGTAGATCCAGCAAATACTAGTTTGTTCAAAATAATAACAATATATTTGATTATATATTCTTATGCATGCATAATCTTATGTGTATATATTCTTATCTACATAATGTATACATACTTATATATATTTATATATAAATGAGTGAATGACAGCAATGATATGAGAAAGGAGAGAAGAATTAAGATTGTTTGTTATTGGGCGCCTGGGTGGCTCAGTTGGTTAAGCGACTGCCTTCGGCTCAGGTCATGATCCTGGAGTCCTGGGATCGAGTCCCACATCGGGCTCCCTGCTTGGCAGGGAGTCTGCTTCTCCCTCTGACCCTCCCCCCTCTCACGTGCTCTCTGTCTCTCATTCTTTCTCTCAAATAAATAAATAAAATCTTTAAAAAAAAGAAAAAGATTGTTTGTTATTATAAGGTCCTTGAGTTACCTGTGAAGCAATATAGTATATTCAAAATAGACTTCTACCTGTTGTAAATGTATATTGCGAACTTTGGGAAAACCTCTTAAAAAAAAGAGAAAAAAGAAGCATAACTGTTATGCTAAGAAAAGAGAAAACTCAGGATACCTGGGTGACTTAGTCAGTTAAGCATCTGACTTTGGCTCAGGTCATGATCTTGGCGTCCTGGGATCAAGCCTGGAGTCAGGCTCCCCACCCAGTGAGGAGTCTGCTTGTCCCTCTGCCCTTCCCCCAGGTTGTGCTCTCTCTCTCTCACAAATAATTAAATAAAATGTTAAAAAAAAAGAAGAAGAAGAGAAAACTGAATCATATAAAATGCTCAATTAAAAGCAAAACCAGGGGTGCCTGGCAGGCTCAGTCAGTAGAGCATCTGACTCTTAATCTCAGGGTTGTGAGTTTGAGCTCCATGTTGGGTATAGAGATTACCTAATAATAATAGTAATAATAATAATAATAATAATAATAAAGCACAAAATGGCATAGATCAGCTGTGGTAGCATCATGGAGAAGCAGGGAATGGGGGAAAAAGCACATAAGATAAAAAAAGAATGTGGAAGACAAAAATAGGAACAACCAACAAGGACAAAAAATAGAAAACAGTGACAAAAATGGTAAATATATATATTTGAAAATAAGAGAGGTCTAAAATGAATAATCTAAATTTCCTTTAGGAAACTAGAAAAGAAAGGGCAAATTAAATCCAAAGTAAGCAGAAGAAAAGAAATGAGAAGTAGAGCAGAAATCGGTGAAATTGAATTTGGTAAATCAAGAGAAAAATCAATAAAAACAAAAGCCAGTTCTTTGCAAAGATCAATAAAATCAATAATTCTCTAGCCAGGCTAACTAGAAAAAAGAGAGAAGACACAGTTACTAATGTTAGAAATGAAAAAGGAGATATCAGTACAGAACCTATGGACATTAAAGGATAGTAAAGGAATACTATGAAAAACTCTGTCTACCCAAAGCTTTCCCACTAAGATCAGGTACAAGGCAAAGATGGCCCCTCCTACTACTCTTCTTCAACGGTGTCCTGGAAGTTCTAGCTAATGCAGTAAGACAAGAAAAGCAAATGAAAGGTATACAGATTGGAAGGAAGAAAGGAAGAAAGACAAAATATCTTTTTTAATGATGTGATAGTCTATGTAGAAAAATCTAAATCAATAAAATCAAAGAAGTACTAAATAAATGGGCAGATAATCCATGTTCATTGATAGGAAAATTTAATATATCAAGTTACAGTTTTTTTCAACCTGCAAACCTAAACCTACAGTTATATG